GATTCTCTTCGAGGACCCTTATACAATGGTTTGAAGATGGTGTTTATCAAAAGTTAAAAATAGCATTTTAGAACACTTACTTTTCAAAGCCCATAAAATCCATAGATCCCAATGTTTTTCACTGGAGAGCTCCGTTCCGATTGACATCCATCTTTTCAGCATTTGCAAAAGTAGAAGCCCTCTCAGATTACATAGATTCGCGTGGAATTCTCTCAACTTTGTTCAGTTTCGCCTGTATCCAAGCCTTCTCATGATCTTACACAGAGTACATCACGGTTGTTCTTCGAACAGCTTCACATAACTCACCAAAAGCCTTATAAAATATCACCGGCATTCTCTATGCAAATACTAAGGAGATTTTTTGGCAGATCTACATTCATCATACAGAAAATCATGTATCCTTAAGGTTTCCTAAAAAACATAGGGATTAGGTTTGATATTTTGTTGTTCAACGATTCGATATTCTTCTCACATGATGCAGATAGAATCTCCTCTGATATTCATATAAATGATCATTCTGCCAAAAAGATTCTGAATTCTTGCAATTCTGAATAAAATCCTCAGATCCTTATGTTTTTCTATCAAAAACTTACATGGAATTAGCATTACTCTTTCTTGGAGAACCTCCTTACAACAATCTCCAGGTGTTATTTTTATAATCAAAAAGATCTTGGCAAAAACTAGAAGTAACATAGATGTAAGAACCGTTACCAAATCCTTTTTTTCTCATAAGAAACTAGGAAAAGATTTCTGAATTTTTATCTGTGGAATGAGCATTTTCAAAGACGAATGTCATATTTGTAGCGCTTACTCCCACAAGAGACGAGATCCCTTCGATAACGACGATTCATTTTCTTTTTTGTGCATTGTAGTAATTCCCAATATTCCAGCCAATGCCCGATGGGCCCAGAATGGAGTGACCGTTGCTGGAGGCCATGGAGGGGGCAGTGCCACCAATCAACTCAACTACCCTTATGGTCTCTTCATTAATGATGATCAAACGATAGTCATTGCTGACTGCTTGAATGATCGTATCATCCAATGGAAGATGGGTGATACGAATGGACAAGTGGTAGCTGGTGGCAATGGCCAAGGAAATCGATTGAATCAATTGGATCGATCAACCGATGTATTGATCGACAAAGAGACGGATAGTCTCATTATTTGTGATCGATGGAATCGACGAGTCGTTCGATGGTCTCGTCGTAGTGGTACAACTCAAGGAGAAATCCTCATTGACAACATCGAGTGTTATGGATTGGCCATGGATGATCAGAGATATCTCTACATCTCTGACTACGTCAAACATGAAGTAAGACGATATCAAATAGGAGACAAGAATGGAGCTATCGTAGCTGGTGGTAATGGCGAAGGTGCTGGTCTCAATCAACTCAACATTCCGACCTACATCTTTGTCGATCAACAACAGACTGTCTACGTGTCAGACAAAGACAATCATCGTGTAATGAAATGGAATAAAGGTGCAAAAGAAGGAATTGTCGTCGCTGGAGATCAAGACAGAGGGAATGCTCGGACACAATTGTCGTATCCTAAAGGACTGTTCGTCGACACATTGGGTACCATCTATGTGGCAGACTCGTGGAATCATCGAGTGATGCGTTGGCCTAAAGGAGCGAAACAGGGCACTGTTATTGCGGGTGGAAATGGTAAAGGAAAAGGAGCAAATCAGTTCAACTATCCGAGGGGTTTGTCATTCGATCGATATGGTAATCTCTATGTCGCCGATGAAGATAATCATCGTGTTCAACGATTTTCAATCGAATAGACTCGTCGTGATACATTTCTTTTGCGTTCCTTTCGTTTCAAATAAATCGCATTGAATTGATGAAATGAATGGCTTATTCTATTCGCGCGCGCGACCAGGAACCATCCTGGTGGAGCCGTGGCGAGCGTAACGCTCATGCACGCGCAGGACAGACTCATATCATTCATACCCTCCCTGCGAGAGATATGTCAATGAGTCTGAATAAGCCTGGTCGTGTGCCACGGACACCAAGACGATTCCTGGCCGAGCTTTTAGGGACTACCCGGAAGTCCTTCATAAGAGACGAAACCCTAACCCTCAACGAAGAGAGCTCATCCTCGTCTCTCACTAACACTCACTTTTCTTAGTCTCACCCTAACCTCTCAATCTCACTATCTATTCTCATCTCAAAAAAAAATTACTTACCGTGTCTAATGTTGATGACGCGATGATATTGACAGCTGGAAGGAATAGAAAAAAAAATTTAATCAATGTTATTTAATGAAATAGAATGAGATGACTTACCCTAATGTTATCTTTTTCTTCATTGTTTATTCCCTAAAATAAGAAAAAAATAATAAAAAGATCAAAGGAGGCCTTACCCCACCATCCTTATGATCGTAAAATAAAAAAAAAATAAAAAAAAAGTAAAACTGATACCTACATTTTATTTTATTGTCGGGTTTGTTGTTGAATTGTTTTATACTGTTTGGTTGAAGCCAATCTAAAACAGAAAAAGAAAAATGATTATTATTTGATTCAAAAATTTGAATGATTTTACATAGAAAATCATTCGTATATATACCTTGAAAAATCATTTTTTTCTCTCGTCGAAAATGATATACATATTTAATTGTACATGTTGATCATTGATCGTCAATGATAATAATATGAACAATGATTTATGGACGAGAGAAAGATAAAAAAAAAAAAGAAAATTCCCCTCGTCACATATATTTCTTTTTTCTTTCCTTTCTCTCTTGTTAACATTAACATATATAATGATTTATTTATGAATTTTTTAGATTTTATCTCATTTGGAATGAAAATAAAATTGTTTTGTTTATTTTTATTGATGATACTCAATAACAACATTTATGTATAATTATTTTATTTGTTATGATAAAATACAAAATATATTACATCAAACGAACTATTACTTAAGTAGACATACTTAATGTTAAAAATTGTTGATTCAATTTCATAGACTGTCGTAAAAAACAAAACAATGGAAGTTTTTAAACACTGAAATTTTTACAATAATATTCTTTTTGGACGAACATATCTAAATATCAACAAAATTTTAGATCAAAATAATTTATTACAGAAGTTTGAAAAAATCTTTCTTTGTTAGGTGGATTAATTACAACAGAAAAGAATGAAATAAGATATATTCTTCTTTTGCATAAAAATTTATTTATATCGACATATCTATTCTATACACATCAAGATCAACAAAGAAAAAAGATTAAAAAATGTATATATAATAATGTTTTTAGTGATTTGGAGAATTTTATGTTTAATGAATAATGTTGATAAATCCATATGTACAATTAATTTAACTAATAATTAAACAACAACATCGTCAGATTTCTTCATTATTATTATTTTCATCATCAACATATGATTAATAGTCCGTTACTTGATTTATTATTCAATACAACTATTAAAATGCGTATGTATTAGATGACAATATTGTTATAAAGAACAAAATATTAACATATATAATTAGTATTTAATTGGAATGGAATATAAGAGAAATCGAATAAAAACTAATATTAATTTTACAATATTATTAAATATTTTTCAAGTAAGATAAGTATTGAATGAAATATATTTTACTAGTTAAAAAAAAAATTATAGCGTCTGTTGAGTTACTTGTGAGAATATTCTGTTGTTAATAGACTTGAACAATGTTATTATCGGAAAAGCTAGATTTACAAATATATATATATATATTATAAAATGATCCAATCTCACAAGTTCGATATTTTTTCTAAGGCTTTACTGGTCATATACTTAAGAAAAAAACTATGTATACTTTTTCTATAAACATTATTTGATTGTTCGATACGATAGCAAAGTCTGAATATGAACTCACTTCTCAATAATCAAGCAATAGTTTTGAAAAAGAAAGCATAAATCTTTTTCTGCTTGTTTATCAGTCGAATAAAATCATTAGAAAAAAATTATCGAGTGTAACGAGATTTGATATCTTTGACGTATTTCAATTTTCATAGACTATTATGGAATTCTTCTCGTACTAAACCAGGGTTGCCAGATCGAAAAATTAGAAATCGAAATGTTTTAATCAAAATTTGAAATTTTTTATATTCTACTTCAGAAAAAGTTCGGAAAGCAGTTGTTTTACTATCAAATATATATACCACCTTTTTTATAGACATATGTGTTGCTCTATCAACATTTTTTGCAAAAATTGTTGCCGATATACTTATTTCTTTCTTCAATCTCACTTAAATTCACATCTGAATCATCATCTTCATCATTCATGGCTGAATTTAATTCAGGATAACAAGAGACAATTTTCATGTAAAATAATACTTTTCTAAACTTAAAGTTCAGTCAATGTCAAAGAAGTTATTGATTCAAATGACATTTTTTTTAAACAATACAAGATATTCATTGAGTTCTGATAGATTTTAAATTCAAACGATCTTACATTATAAATAGTCTCAAAATTGTATTATGGAATGATTACAGTAGAACAACGACAGCGTATGAATTGCTAATGAAAGTTAAATTAGAAGTTATAACCAAAGTCATTAAATCTCGAATCTAGAGAAATAACAGGTCACGAAAAAATATTCAAAATTCGGAAGATCTGGCAGCCCCGTACTGAACAAATCATTCATATTGTACAGTAGCGTGCGACATAGGTCAAAATTCTTGTGATCCGATTGGAGTCGGATACTTATTGGATTTTAATTGCAACAGTGGTGGACTAGTTGAATTTTCTTGTATTACATTAACTCATCTATACAGATCGTTACTTTCATTTTCGAATGAATTATTTTTTTCTAATAGATTTTAGAAAATTTTATGCTAAAACAATGGAAGCGATTCATACATTAGATTAAAAAAAAGAATCCTCGTTTTTATGCTTATCTTAATGTAATTTTATTTCATTGAATAGATAATGTAAAAAATAAAAATTATTTCGAATAGATTCGTGAACATAACATTGAATTAGGTGAACAATATTGAGCTGTATTTAATGATACGACTTATTCAACGTTTACTTAAATATACATCAATAAAACATATTGATTATCAATTATTAATTGATTCATTGGGTAAATTACGTGAAATAGCAAAAAAATTAAATGAACAAAGTAGAAAAACGGAAAAACATTTATCAATGTTTTGATATTGTTCATATTATTGATAATTGTCGTTAAATTTTAGTCAGAGTTTCTTGCTGCACATCATAATTATATAGAAAAATTTAAAGTTATTGAACTTCAACAAGAATTAACAACAATACAACTACATTTAACTCGTTTTCTTTTCTCCGATTGTCTTGAATATATGCGAAAAGCATTCGGTATGAAAATATATTCCACTTATTTAATTGGGGAATATTCAAAGTTTATTTGATAT